GCATTACTTAAAAGCCGCGAACGCGACGAAAAAATTTTACTCGTCATAAAACGATAAATAGTTTGTCAAATTTTTATTCATAAAAATGCAGTTTCAACTGCTTTTTATTTTATAAAATCCGTCTTCTTGCGCCATCAGAGGGCCTTTTAAACAATAAGTAGTCTGTTAGCATTGGTCAGTAGTAGTCCAAATTCAATACGAACGTTTGTTTCTTGACAATTTGATCACGATTTAAATACAGTATTTATTTTTAATATTACCGATATGTCATCGAAAAGAAAACGTGTTGTATTATCATTAAAAGACAAATTAAAGTATCTGTTTCGATTATCCGGATTTTTCCTTATCCGGACTACCTTCATCCCCAATTAGTCCGGATAATCGAGGTTCTACTGTACATGTATGTGACTTTAAGATGGATAGCGGTGGGAGGATACTAACTGTGGATCTCCAGGTAAGAAATAAGATAATAAGTGTGGTAAATGTATATGCGCTTCCTCAAGTCTCCGAACGTAAAGATATTTTTAACCATTTAAGTAAATTTTTAATAGGAGTTAAGTATATTATTTTAGCTGGTGATTTTAATAATGTTTTACAAGTTTTAGATAAAAACCGGACATTACATCCGGACGGTTCTAGAAAAATTTTAAGTAAAATTATTGATGAATTTAATTTTATTGATACTTATCGTCATAGTTATCCACAATATCCTGGATTTACGTGGTCAGGTCAAGGGATTAAGGAGCGCCTAGACAGAATTTATATAACAGATAATCTAAATAATATTAAAGATATACAAGTAGATTATTTAATAGATAATATGAGGAAACTTACAGATCATAAGTTGGTTAAACTAACAATTCAAATTGAGGAAAATGTTGAAATTAAAAGAAGAATAAAAGTAACAAAAGAGATTTTGGATGATAAAACTTTCCAATCTGAAATTATAGAAATAGTTAATAGAAATAAAAATATATTAACATGGGATGTATGGGTACAAATAAAAGAGGAAATAAGAGAACAAATTTATATGACATGGTATAAAATTAAAAAAGAAAACTTTAATAAATTAAAAAGGTTACAAAGAGAATTATCAGAACAGATTATGAGAAATAATGTGGTAGGAGTAGAAAAATTAGAACAAGAGATAAGTGAAGAAATAGAGTATAGAAATAGAGATAGTTATAGTAGATATAAAATGAGGAAATATGGAATAAAAAGAGAAATTGAAAAATACATCTTTGAAAGAGGAAAAGGATGTAAAGAAAAATTAGAAATTAATAGACTTATTGGTGAAAATAATAATATGTTAACAAATAATGTAGAAATTATAGAAGAGTTTGTGAAATTTTATACCAAATTATTTGATGATCCCGATTCTGATTTTAGTTATTGGAATAGGATTTCTTCTTGTATTGAACCTGTAAAGGATAAAGATGAAAATATAATAAGTTGTGAAATTTCAAAAGATGAGATAAGGGAAGCTATTCAAGGGCTCCATAGTAGAAAGGCTCCAGGTTATGACGATATACCGGCTGAATTTTATAAGTTTTTTAGCGAATTTTTTATTGATTATTTTTATAAGCTTTTTAACTTTAGCCTTTTTGGTGATGATTTTAGTTACGGCAAAATGGTTTTATTAAACAAGGGGAATAATAATAATAAGGGAGTGGGGGATTTTCGTCCAATCACTCTTTATAAGATTTTTAGTAGTATTGTAGCTAGGAGACTTGAGGGGATTTTTGAAAATAAGATAGTGAGTACTCAAAGTGCCGGAATTAAGAAAAGATGTATACAAGATAATATTATGTTTTTGAAATTGTTAAATGATATATATAAAGAACGACAATCCCAGCTCTCCATCCTTGCAATTGATGTTTGCAAGGCTTTTGACACTGTAAACTGCGACGTGCTCTGGGAGATGTTAGATAAATATGGATTAAATGAATCAGAAATTAAATTAATTAAATGTTTATATAGAGCACCAAGTACATTTATTTATTTGAATAATGAGATTTCAAGTGATATTAAATGTAGGGCAGGGGTCCATCAGGGGTGCCCCTGCTCTATGCTGTTGTTCACTATCTATATTGATGTTTTGTTAAAATATGTGTTAAATGATAAATTTATTGATCCGGTATATATTCCCGCGATGAATACTAATATAAAGTTTGTTGCGCATGCCAATGATGTTAATTTTTTGATAACTAATAATGTAAGTTTAAATAGATTATGTTTAAGATTAAATGAATTTTGTAATTTAACTGGCATGCGCATCAATGAGAGTAAAAGTAAATTGTTAGAGTTGGTCGGGAATATAGATAGTGATGTTTCAATTACGAAAGTGGACACGATGAAAGTACTCGGTGTGTGGATAGGTCGTGAAAGTAAAAATAAAAATTTGGAGGAGATTATTAATAAGATCAATAAAATTATTGAAGGATGGAAAAGTAATTGGCTATATCTCCCAGAGTGCGTCGTGGTAATAAATAAAGTTGTAATAGCAAGTATAAATTATATATTGTATGTAACTGATTTAGATAATAGTGATATAAAAAAGATTGAAAGACTTATTTATCAATACATTTGAATGAACAGTTTTGAAACATTACGTAGGAAAATGATGAGGAATAGTAGAAATAATGGAGGATGGGGAGTCTGGGACATAAAAGAATTAGAGTACTCACTTAAATTAGCACATATGGTTAATGCTATATATAATAAAAAACCACCCATTGTTTTATGTGACGAGATATTTGTTGGGACCAATTGTTAAAAAGATTGATCGGGAGGAGGATAGATTCCCTTTTATTATAAGTAATAACAAAAAGTATAGAAAATGGAGGGAAATCATAAAAAATTTTGTAAATAATAATGAGAGTTTAATTGAAAATAAAATAAAAATAAGACCGGTGTATATTTATAATAATATCCATAGTCAACATATAAGTAATAGTATGATTAATTCCCCATATAATTGGGAGTTGGTATGGAAACAAGTTATTGATCTTCCTCCCGAATGGTCGGAAATTACCTGGAGAATCCTTATGAATATAGTTATGACTAAAGATTATTTACACACGTACCACCGCGTCCGTGAAGACCGGTGCTCAAGATGTGGGTTAAGAGAGACAAGTGAACATCTCTTCTTCGAATGTATTGTGTCACAGCAAGTGTGGAATTGGTTTAATAAACTATGGAAATGTAGAATTAATTGGACTAATATAAAATACTTTCTAGATTTTCAACTAAGGAACAGGAATAGATATATGCTTACCTGGATGGTTGGCTTGGTGAAGAGGATTTTATGGAAGGCGAGGTGTGTTCTGTTTTTCGAGAGGCGATACTGGAATGCAACATTGATTGTAAAAAAGATTAAAGAAGAAGCTAGTTATAAAATAAGGAGTGATATAAAAAGTATGACTGACAGTGAATTTGATAAGTGTTATGATGGAACAGAAAATATATGGAGAAATGTGAATGGAACTGTAGAAATTTGTGATGATTGATTGTTAATGTAGAGTTTTATTGTATATAGTTTATTGTTTTGCCTTTTTGGCAGCTTGCCTTTTTGGTTATTATACAGTTCTTATGTTTTGTTTTAGATTTACACTTATTAATGTTCTTTAAAAGTTAACAATATGTTTGAATTTATTACTAATCGGTGTTGTATATGGATATTTTAATTTTTAAATTTTGATTGTTGAGTTGATGTTTTGTTAAATTTTATGAATGTATTATGTAATGATGTTTATTGAATTATGTGAAATTATTGTCGGTTTATGCGATATTTGGTTTACTAATATGTTGAGTTTGTAAATTAACTATTTTTTGTTGATTTTGATGTTGATATTGATTCAGAGTTGTAAATGTCATATGTAAATATTATGTGAAATAAATATGGGGATTCCTGGGGGTTTGTACGGCAGGCCATGCATGAAGGTAATTACCTTTTCTTCTGTGTTTGCACGTTATCCTGCTGCAGTGACTCTGGCATCTCAAGTGAAGGAAATCCGATATTAGGCACCTTTTCACATAACTACAAACTTTGATCTATCAGTATCTGTTCTTATCTCGCCAGTGAGGGTGAGTTTTCATGAGCAGCTGCTAGAGATTCGTTTTGGGCTTGTTTTGTGTGTTTAAGTGGTTTATGAAGTGATATTTGTGATTCAGAAGGAATAAGGAAGATGATATTGATTGGATTAAGTGCTTTTTTCTGATTTTTTTCGAGTTTTACGACGGAATGTGAACTTAGCGTTAGGCCTAACAACAGGAAGGTGAAGTGATTGAAAGAAGTGAGAAATACTTGTTGGAAATAGAAGCTTATGACTAAAGTCAAGTAAGACTAGAATGTAGAGTAATTTAATTGACTGTTTAAAGTAAAATTAGATAGTTTTTGACTTTAAAAGCTGAGACACTCAAACGATACTCAAGGAGGGCGTGTCTAACTGTTAAGTGACTATGAAATGTCTATTCTTATAGTATGAGTAAAGCGAATTAAAGTTTAAATGAATATAGAGATAAATCAACGGTGTAATTGAATTAATTAAGTTGAAAATAGAACTTATAATAAGTTTATTACTGTAATAGCATCTGAGAAGGTGTGTCTTGGTTAAGGAAAATTGTTTTAAGGAAGTTTAAGTATAAGTTATTGAATGAGTATAAAGAGCGTTAATAAAGAAGTGTAATTAAAATAAAGTAACAACAGGTGTTTAAATAGTTTGTTGAATGTTTTATGGTGAAATATATGAAGAGAAATTGGTAAAATTTCTGAATTTTGTTTAAAGCTTCACAGTTTCCTGCTTGTGAGTTTTGATATTTGAAATTGGTCTACGGTTGTGACTGTTAATTTGATGCGTTTGAAGTTAACTGATTTTTTTGGAGTTATTCAATATAGAAATTTATGATTTTGATTTCTGGGTGTTTGTGAAGTGGTGTGAATTGTGAACTTTATTAGTGTTTAATTGTATTTAATTAAAGAAATAATGGCCGAAAAAGAGAAACAGGAGATTGGAGCTTTATCGCTTCGTTTCACAGCTCAGGAAGATATTAACTGGAAGAAGTTTTTGACTTTATTAATGGATGAAGAGGTTACAATTGCTCAAATAGGTAATATATCGAAAAGAGCATGTATAGTAACAGCACGAGATGAAGATATGAAAATGAGATTATTGGAAACAGAGTGGGTCTGGAGAGGAAAAAATGTAAGTGTTAGACCACTTAAAGGGAATATTAAAAGATTACAGTTACTCCGTGTGCCATATGAAATTCAACGTAAAGAGATTGAGGCTAAGTTCAAGGAATATGGTAGAGTTATTAGAATAGAATATGATTATTTTCTACCAAATTATGATATTTTGACAGATAAAAGATACATTACTTTGCAAATGGAAAAGGAGGTACCCAACTTTGTTGAGATAAGAGGTTGTCGTATTAGAGTGGAATACCCTGGTGTTAAGTGGCTCTGTGCTACATGTTTGTCGTCAGAACATCGGGCAAAAGAATGTCCAAACATAAAATGTTATTTATGTAATGAAGTCGGACATAAGAGATATCAGTGTAAGAAAGAAAATCAGGAAGGAATAGAGTGTAGAGATGGAGAGATTGAGGAAGAGGAAAGACAGGAAATTGATAAGAGAGAAGAAGGTGCAGAGGAGGTGTTAAGTGATAAGAGTATAGACTCGGTGAGAAAGGAATTGGTTGTAGTGGTTCAAGATTTAGAACAGAGTATAGAAGAAGCGAAGGAAATGGGAGGAGTAAGGAAGGAAGAGAAAGGAAAGGAAACAGGTGGAAAAGTTGTGGGAAAACAAATGAAGAAATATAGAAACAATGTGAATACGGAAACGTCATTTGCAACAGAGTCTACGAAAATACCAAAGATGTTTAGGATAAGGTATAAAGGTCAAGTGTACACAAAAACGAAATCAGAATTGGAAGAAGAAGGTTGGAAGGAATACAACTTTAAACAATGGGGAGCCTATATAGAGGAATCTTATTCAGCTGTAAGAAAAGAAATAAAGAAAGAATGGTGGAGAGCCTTTAAAGGATGTGGAGAACAATATTATGCCTATAAGGCACAGAATGGAACGATACTAAGAGACGATTAGTTTTTTTAAGCTTTTTATGTGTTTTTTGATGGATTTGCTTTATAATGATGTTATTGTCGAGTTTGTATTGATATGATTTTTTCTCTTATTGATGATAAAAGTTTTGATGTTTTTTGCATTTTTAATATTCCATTTTGGGATGTTGTAAAAACGGTTTTTTGAAGTTTTATGATGTTTAACTAACAAATCATTACGTTTTGGTGAAATGATGTTTATGATTGATATTTGTAATTTTTGGTGATTAATTTTTGTTTGTAGTGTGTCCTGATGGAGAATGCTGTGGTTGAGGCTGCTCTTTTT